AGGACTACAGGCATGCATTGATCTTGGTAAGCAACATGTGCAGAAGACAGTAGGTGGGGATACCACCAGACTAGGCCTCAACATGGATGTAGAACACGTTTCACGGAGTGCAGCCTCAACTGATAGTGAGGATTTCACCTCCGACTCTGAGGCTGTACCTGGCTCGTCTACGACAAGCGACAATGAATTTGTCTTGGCGACTCTTGAGCAGCCACCATTTGAACGTGATTTGGGACTCACCAAGCTACCGGATGGAGTCGAAGATGAATTGGATGGTCTTCCTGATCTAGTGAAAGAGGGCCTAAAGTCCGACTCGGAAAACGCGAAAGGAGATGGCAGAGTAGACGAAGAAGGCCCGGAACGGCTTCAAGTAGCCCTTCTCGGAGAGAAATTGCGCCACCTGGCTTTCGGGGCCAGGGAGAGCATCGTGAAGTCTATCCAGAACTCAGGGATCGTAGCTTGGTCACTCGACGATTTAAGACCGGCAGATGTTCCGGTGTCTCACTCGTTTGAGGTAGAAGAGCCAAGACCCATTACCCACGCTGCACGTAGGCTTCCACCACTCCACAATGAAGTGGTACGTGAGGAGCTTCGTAAGATGTTGAATGCGGGAATAATAACTCCCTCCATTTCGGCCTGGTCCTTTCCTATCGTTATCGCATCAAAGAAAGACGGAAAACCCAGGTTCTGTGTAGATTACCGCACCCTCAATCGCAAAATGAAAGCCGATCGTTGGCCCTTGCCAAAGATCGAAGAGATCTTCGATGATTTAGAGGGGAGCTCGGTCTTCACAACGCTTGACTTGTTCTCGGGGTATTGGCTGTTGTAATTCTACGACCACATGCTGATATGCATGACACACGACGACAGGTATGACACGTGTAAAAGCAAAAACACTCCGCGTGACGAGCTGAGCAAGTTTGATTTTCAACGTGTACACGTGTGCTTTCTGTACACGGTTGCACTCTACAGTACTTCAGGAGGACGTTTGGTTTTCAACGTGTACACGTGTGAAATATGTACACGGTTGCGGTGTACTGTACAATCTGAGCATGTTTTATTTTCTCGGCCCGACACGTGTATGACCTGGACACATGTCCTCATTAAACTGTCGGACGCGTACAGTACGCCTGCAGTCTTACAGACAAAGTGTAGAACATTGGTGGCGGGTGCCTGGCACGTGCCAAAGGTTTACAGCGTCCATGGAGTGCAGCACGGGTACAGCAGGACACAAAGATACCGTTGCGCGAGTTTTGAATTCGTAAGGCAAAATGTGCACTGTTGTAATTGACAGTGCACAGGACCTCACGAGAGATTCAGATTCATAAGGCAACGTGTGCGCTGTAAACAGTCCTTGCAGGATTGATTTGAATTCGTAAGGCAACGTGTGAGCTGTAAACGTGCCTTACGAATTTGTGCCACGCTGGATTTGGAATAGTAAGGGAATTTGTGCTTTGCTGTGCTTTGTTGTACTGCCTTACTAATTTCTCCGTCATGACAGTGCTAATTCGTAAGGCGGTTTTCTGTTCTGATTGTTGTGCCATCGCCAGTTTGGCTGAGTAGCAAGACGGGCACATGTGTTAGAGCCAATACATTTGTAGTATGTGTGTCGTAGTGTTTGGTAGTAGAGTTCTAGAAGATTGCAGAAGTGTATAAGTAGTGCCAGAAGTTGGGGACTCAAAGTAAATCGGTACCCAATCCTTCAACTTCACCTCATCAACCGTCCTTCGATTTCCCTTTGCCCCGCTGACCTTCCAATATTGGCAAGTCCGGATGTCTGAGAACTGCAAAGAGAAGACGACTTTCGTCTGCGGTTTTGGGACGTTTCAGTTCGAAGTGATACCGTTCGGGTTAATGAACGCCCCCTCTACATTCCAAAGGATGATGGACCAGCTTTTCCAAAGGCTTAGCTTCGTGAGAGTTTACTTAGACGACGTAGTCGTCTTCTAGAAGTCCGTTGAAGAGCACACTTCACACTTACGTGAAGTCTGCAAGGTGATTGCTACGAGCAGGCTGAAGCTTAAGATCTCAAAATGCCGCTTCGCACAGTCCCAAATGTGACTGCTTGGACACATAGTCACCGGAGATGGCGTCAAAGTGGACCCCGAAAAGGTCAGCGCCAGTAAGAGGGAGAATGAGCCGTCCAATGCGACAGGGCTTCGTGGCTTCCTTGGTGTGGCGGGATACTACCGCCGCTTCATTCCTAAGTTTGCCGAGATCTCTGCTCGGCTACATGAGGCCACGTCCACTAATCGGACTTTGAAGTGGACGGCGGAGATGCAGGAGGCATTCGAGAAGCTTAAGCTCAAGTTAGCCTCCCCGCCGGTCTTGGCGTTTCCGGACTTCGAACAACCTTTTGTCGTGGAGACTGATGCATCCTCGGTCGCCGTCGGAGCTGTCATGGCCCAACGAAAAGAGGACAGGAAAGTCCACCCGATCCAGTACGCAAGTCGCACGATGACGTCAGCCGAGAGGAAGTATTCCGCCTGTGAGGGAGAGGCCCTGGCTGTGATCTTCGCTTTGAAGAAGTTCCGAGTTTACCTGCTTTCAACACAGAAGTTCACGCTAATAACAGACCACCAAGCCCTGCAGTATGCCTTTAAGAAGAAAGACATTCACGGGAGGTTGGCAAGGTGGATGGACTTCCTAGCAGAATACGAATTCGAAATTAATTACCGCCCGGGAGGAAAGAACGGTGCAGATGACTTTCTGTCTTGCCTGAAAGCCAAGGGCGAGGATGGAGTCGACTCTGACGACGAGGGAGATCTTGTCTGCAGTGTTTCGGATCCTCTAGAGGCGCAAATGGAGTGGGAACCCCATCTTATTGACATTGCAAGGCACCTCGGGGGTATTGATATGATGGAAGTGGATGTTCGTCGACGTCGGCTCAACAGCCGAAGCGCCAAACGTTTCATGGCTTGTAATGGACAACTGTTCCGTAGGACCAACAATGGATTACGCGCTATCCCGCCTATAGGGGCTCGCAGAAGCATCGTTAGAGCCTTTCACGACGAAATAGGCCATTGGGATCTGCAAACGACGAAGAGATTCGTCTTGGACCGATATTGGTGGCCTGCCGTCCACCGAGACGTGAACGACTACGTTCGGGGTTGTGACGGTTGTCAGAAAGCCACACCAATTCTGAAGTACAAGACCACCCTTCGATTTCCCATGACTTCGTTATTTGATACATACTCTATCGATTTGTGGGACCATTGCCTCATACGCCCTCTGGAGGGAGGTAAATCCTTATTGCCGTGGAGCACCTGACTGGCTGGCCAATTGCGAAGGCCACCGTCACCTCGACGGCAGAGGAGGTGTTGAAGTTCGTGAAAGAAGAGATAATCCACTGTTTTGGGTTACCGCGTGTCGTTGTCTCGGACAACGCTACTTGTTTCACAGCGTCGGTCCTGAATGCCTTCATGGCACGAAACGGGATTAAGTGGAAGACAGTGCTCGCCTATGCGCCTATGTCGAACGGACGGGCAGAGCGGATGGTCGGCACATTGAAGAGAGCAGTCCGTGAGATGATTCTCGGTGCCTCGCCTGCAATTGTTGAGTAGGACGATGCTTTACGTCCAGTCCTATATGGATACCGTCGCAGGAGGATGGCGGTGGGATTGTCTCCGTTCGAGCTGCTTTATGGGGTGTTGCCCAGGATGGCGCCTAGAGACCAAGAGCCTCTCTTCGGAGTCTCCGAGATCCGCCACCGGGAAATGGAACTCCTGCAAGCCAGGGCGATGCGGGCAACAAGAATAATCGGGCGCAGAGCTGCAACCACATTAATAGACGGTCGCGAAGCAACTTTCAATGTGGGCGACGAAGTGTTGGTCGCAAAAGGGGCTGCCCTCGGGCCCATGCAGAAATGGCCTATCGCCTTGTCGAAGTTCTATGGCCCATGCCGAGTTGCTCGCGCGCGCCATCCGCGGTACACCCTAGTGTCACCGCATCAACGCTACTCGAGAAGGGAGATACATGCCAGAAGGCTGGTCCTCTACAAGAGGAACCGTCGCACCTTCAGTGAGGCAAATGACTAGGGATTTTTACGCTTTGAATTGAAAGATAGTGAAATGCATATGAAGTGCTGATTACTTGCTACGAGTAGATAGAGAGTGGGTCATGGAGACAATGGGAATCACCAATGACCTCTAATGCTGAATGAAACCTCCCGAACCCCGAATCGCGACTTTCTCGTGTGCTCTGCGGCTGCTTACGCGTCCAATTCCGCTCCGCTTCTTCTTGGAAGGGGTGATGACGAGAACTTGGCGCAGTTCGGAGACGCCAACGAAGATCCCGTCGGCTCCAACGCATGCTTTGACCGCGCCGGCACAGAACCCAAGCGGAAACCCCTCCATACAATCAAGTACAATGGAATATATGGTCGAGACGCAGATGCTGTGCATTATGTGTGGCAAGCCTTCTAAAGTCGCGACATAGACACCCGGGTCGAGCCTCAAGAGGAGTCCGAGAGATGGACTACGAAGACCCGACCCGCGGAGAGTGACTTCATCTTGATTAAGGTGTTTTGCAACGTCATGGAAATCTCGGATTCGACGCGACGGAGAGCCGGTCGTCTCAAAGAGGAAGCTGTTGCGGACTAAAAGATCCCAGTACTTGACGGCAAGGTTCGGGGACCCTAGTAGTTGGAGATCATTGCAGACGGCGGCGGAGATGCCCATGTCACTATTATCTCGGAACTGCACGGTCCCGTGTGTGGAAACGCGGTAGATCGGAGTCCGAGGATTGACTGCCCTGGAACGACCATGGATCATCTTCAGACTCCTACCCTTTTGATCGGTGCGAAAACGGTCAATACTTAAGAACGCACTAATTCGATCTCTCCCACCAAACTGGAAGAGATCATCAACAATCTTGTGAGTTGTACTATTCCCGGGTCCGAAAATTGCTAGAGTGTAGAGCAAAATACGGTGGGGAAGGTTGGTTGCGGTGTCGACGCCATAGTACGTGTTGTCAACGTCGAGATAGATGGACTCAATATTCTACTCGTCGTCGCCTATAAGACAGTACTGGTTTGTCTCCAACAACGACTCTGTGAGACCAAGACGCCATATCTCTTCGAGAGAAACCTCTTCATCTTGCTTGCCGTAGAGCAGGGCGGTAATATGATCCGCTAGAACGTTTTTGAACTCTTGCTCCGTTACGGCGTAACGGCAATGTCCGCTGGCCACCCAAATGTGGAATATGGAGCCCCTCTTGGAAACCTTGGTTACATCTGTTCGAGATGAGAGCTCGAATATTAAGTGGCTGCGGCTGGAGACGCGTGCAGCTTTCAGAGCGAGCTGCTTCCGCGGACGCTTACCTGCCGTGCTCTTCGCCGCTGTCTGCTTGGTCATCGCCATCGTATTACGCTATGACGGGGGCCAAAGAGGGCACGCGGGGACTGAAACCCCACCTGCGTGCCTTTCGATTTGGTGGGCAACTGTAGGTCTAAGCTACGACGAGGACCAAGGAGGCAACGCGGAAGAGCCGCGAGAGCTAAGCAGCGCAGGAAGCAGGAGGCCGGAAGAGCTAAAACGAGGCTGGGATGGAGCGAGAAAAGCGAACAGACAGTGACGGCAGATACCTCAAGAACGGAAGGTGGGTCTGAGCCCCAGGTCTGTGTTGATATAGGCTGGAGGGTGAACAAAAATCAAAATCAAAGGCAAAATCTGAGTGGCCAGGGCCCGTGGCCCCGCCTCAGTGGGGGGTTGAGTGACACGTGGTTGGGACCGGTGTAAGTAATTGGAAGTTTAAGTTAGTAATTGTAGACAGTGCGCAAAAAGAGTATAAATGCAGTGGTTTTCGGTCGTCCTGTACGGCCGAGGGCAGACACATCACAAAAAAAAACACAAGGGTAAGACACGGGATGACGTACCCCGTTTTCGCCCCAACACGCCCTATACCCGTTGCGTATCGCGCCCCGCTCGCCTCTCCCGCGACACAAATGACACGTTTTCTTGCGGGAAAGACGGGTACTATTCGGAGGGGTTTACCACTACAGTATCGGGGGAGTACCCTTTTCACTGGTATAATTTGGACACGTTAAGGATTTTCCTGAAATCGGTCATTTTACCCCTCTACTGACCGGTTTTTCGGTTTTCGATTTTTGGCCGTACTACCGTATTGGGAGGGCTGACTGTACAGAAAATATTATTTTTTAGAATTACAGTTCCATTTTAAGTGAAAATTAGGCACGAGTTGTGGAGCTTTCTTGAGGTCCGGGGGACGGAGATAAAATGGCAAGCTCTAGGGGATGGATGGTGAGGAGAGGGGTAGGCAGTGGGAGCGAAAAAAAAAGTAAAAACGAACAGCAACGCCCCAAAACACACGTTGACTGTTGAACAGTGTCAACGGTTGTCATGAGGGAGGCGAAAATTATTTTCGCCTTTATTGTTGCCCGGAATCATCATTTAATGATGATTCCGGGCATCAATTGACTGATTTTCACTGCGTTTTGCGAAGATCCTATCAGAGTTGCACTGAGGTCCTCGGTGGTACGGAGGGACACGCACCGCCTTTGCCGCTTCGACCGTCGGAACGGCACTCTGCTCGCCTCCTCAAACCCTTCATGTACCCAGAATATTGTATGTATGTATGGTTCTGAATCTCAGCAATCTCGCCGCCTTGGTGGAAGCACTGCGTTTGCTCGCCAACCCACTAAAAGACGTTCATAATCACTTCAGCACAATAAAATGTCGACATCTCCCTCTCTGGAGGCGGCACAGCCTCCGCAGCACCGTACAGTGTGGATCAACACCGCTCTGCAATAATCGCATACATTTCCCGCATCCAATTTCCTCTTCCCCCCCCCCCCCCCCCGTCATCATCCAATATTCCTCCTCCCTTCACTCGTGTAGATCCTCTCACTCCGCAATGGGCGACTTACAGCCTCCGTCATACATCTGCCGTCAAGTTCATACCACCCCAGAAATCGACGGAATCGTATCCGGCGCCGCCTGGGACTCGGCCATCTGGAGCGACCCCTTTGTAGACATCGAAGAAGGCGGCCCCAAGCCCCTGCGACCACTGCCTTTTGCACGCGAAACTCATGTCAAGATGATGTGGGATGACACCCATTTCTATCTCGCCGCCTACTTGCATGAACCACACGTATGGGGTACCCTAACCGAACCCAATTCCGTTATATTTATGGACAATGACTTTGAGGTATTCCTCGACCCCGACAGCACAGCCACCAACTATTACGAACTAGAGGTGAATGCGTTAGGCACCGTCTGGCAATTGAGTCTAGACAAGCCGTACTACCTTGGCGGGAAGGCCACTTCCCCACATCAACTCGACGGCGTTAAAGTAGCTGTGAATGTCGACGGCACCCTCAATGACCCGACAAGCATCGACAGGGGGTGGTCCGTGTCCATGGCCATTCCGTTTGCCTCTCTCACTGTCTTCGGTGCGCACGCGCCGCCAATGGTCGGAGACTTGTGGCGTGTCAATTTTTCACGCGTGCAGTGGCCTCACAATGTCGTCAATGGCAAGTACGTGCGCGTGCCGCCGCATGGTACTGACTTGCCGCAGGGTGCCGATCAGTTACATCCGGAGCGTAACATCGTTTGGGCACCGACCGGAGTCGTCGACATTCACCGACCGGAGATGTGGGGTACAGTCACGTTTGCAGATTGACCATGAGCTGGAGATGATGATGATGCGCAGCATGGGGAGCTGTTGGCAGCATGTTGAAACGTAGTACTGTGCTAAAGTAAAACGAGGCTGCACCCTGAGAGTGTTGTACGAGACGGAGGAGATAAGGGGGTTCTGAAAAAGGTTGAACATCTAAAAGATGGTCATGCAGCTCTGCTGAGCAGGTCAGGCTGCGTCATGAAATGTACCCTGGATATGGCGCTCAATGCTCAAGATTGCAGTCATGCGATTTCAGTTGATGAGTATATTACTGCACGCATTTGATTCTTTTTCCGTAGATGTGCATGTTGGAGTGGGCAACAAGGATGCGGGATGGGCTGTCGGATTACGTTGACGGTAGAACTCTGGGAAGACATGGCGAGGGGACGGCGGAGGGGGAACAGCACAACTCAAGCATCCAATGGAATTGCAGGCGTGAGAGATGCAAAGAGATGCAGGAAAGATTCTCGTCTGCGTGTTTGTCTTTTGGGATGCTGGTGGCTGAGGATAGACGGCTAGAGCTCGGATGCGCTACGCAGCATCTCCACACTCACTCATCCCCCGATCGGTCCAATTCCCGCCATTTAATTCCTTCTCTGTGCTCAATACAAAAATATATTCGAAAAGTTTTCTGTCAATTTCACCTCAAACGCACGTCATACCTTTCATTGCCCCAGCACGCGCCCCGTCGCTCTCCGTTTGCCCTCCGCCCCTTGGCGCCCCCCCACCTCCCCCCGTCATCCCATCCCACTCCTCCATCCGTCGCCCCATCCCATGCGTCGCTCCATCCAATCCGCCGTGATCCCCAGCGCCTCCGTCCTCTTGTTTGTGTCGCGCTTCATCGTCCCAGCGGTCGCCTCTCCCTCCACATGCGCGCGTGGTAACGCCACCTGCTCGGCCACTCGCATGTCATCCTCGGCCGCCTCCGCGGCGCGCAACGTCAACGTCCTTGGCGGCCCGCTGTCAAAGTGCTGCGTCTCTCCCGTCACGGGCTATTATCGCGATGGCGCCTGTGCCACGGGTCCCGCCGACCTCGGCGTTCACACCGTGTGCGCCGTCGTCACGCGCGCCTTTCTCGACTTTTCGCGCGCCAAGGGCAACGACCTTGTCACCCCCATGCCCGCCTATGAATTCCACGGCTTGAAGGATGGGGATCGTTGGTGCCTCTGCGCGAGCAGGTGGAAGGAGGCCGCAGATGCTGGTGTGGCACCCCCCGTTGTGCTCGAAGCTACGCATGAGAAGACACTCGAATTTGTTACCATCGAGTTGCTGCAAAGGCATGCCATCACCCAGGGCGACCCCGCATAGCGAAAGGAACGGCGTGCGTCATCCGGTGCTTTATGTGATATAGCTCCGATTTGAAGGCCAAGTCAAGCGTTTGCAGAGTCGCTTTTGAATACAGCGCTGGAGTTGTACTCCCTATCTGTTCGGCGCAGCTTTCACAGTTGTTTTCGCATTCAAAACTGCATCCTGCCGACGTATTCCGAATTTTCTTGAGAAGGGATAGTGGTCTTCTTAGAGGGGAATGACGACTTGTTGATTCCCTTCTCATTCGCAAGAAGGTGGCTTGCAGAGGGGTTGGTCAGACGCAATCTGCTGATCCTGAACAAAGCGGCCTGATTGATAACATGTACCGCATCGTAATTCAGGCCGCTTTGTTCAGAACTCGTAGATGGTATCAGAAGAACCCTTCGGGAAGCCATGTTTTTGAGATGAGGAAACACTTAATCGCCAAATGTAAAAGACCTTCATTTTGTCTTATACAGTATGAGGAAAGTCTTTCATATCCTAAGAGTCATGTATTGCGTCTCTAAATTTTGGATCTCAATTTGGGATCCATTTCTCCAAAGAACATGCCTTCAGCAATGACGACTTGCAGTGCGCATGGATCGAAGCTTTAAACACATCGACAGACAAAGCACTCAGTGAGGTTGAAGCTGTGAGCGGAGTTCTTAGTCTGTGTATTTGGATTCGAATGTATAGACAAAAACAATATTTCAAGCATGCTTATAACTGCCTTTCCGCCAGATTTCCCAAATGGACTGGGAAGAATGGGTAGGTCTCGCTGTTATGTCGCCTGTCGCAATCCATAATTCAGTTACAGTGGCGAGGGCACCATTCCCATCCTTATCGAGCAAACAGAACTCCAGAAAAAAAATCGTCCCAAGTGACTTCGCTTCGCTGGCAAGACCTACCCTATGACTCAGCGACGTTTTTTCGAGCGTTGACAGGTGTTGGCCAGAGCACATATCGAGCACGCGTCGTGATACTTCAAGAGTTAGATGGTGCGCCCTTGTAAACCAGTATAATTATATATAATTAGCCTTGATCCCTCAAATAAAGAAGAAGAAGAATTAATTATAACATATCTCCGTAGAAACTGTGTTGGTTCCATTTCGCGAAGTTTCTGGGCATGGAGTTCAAAGAGGAAATCGGAATAGAAGCCATTGAAATATCAATATTTGCAACGACAATGCATCTTTTAACTAATCTACGTTCTGTGGAGTGCACACAGCACTTCTAGTATTTTCTGAAGCAAAACACTCTATATATAACTGTTCTTCAAATGACTTCCAAAGAACGTTGCTTAGCTGTGACTTCTATGATTGGACCGAACACTCGTGCCAATGCCAGTACGGCAGATGCTACGAGATGCTTTGCTTCTGTGATCAGAGTCAAGAATTCTTCATGGGATCTAAAAAGGAACCAAACGCGGCCGCTTTCACGACTGGCCTCTCAGAAGGATGTACAGTACAGCAGTACAGTAATTCAATTTTGTAGGTACGGACACCGCCCCAGTCGTTTTGGGACACATGTGCCTCACAGGAGGTGGGAATTTCTTCAGTGCCATTTCATTCTTCCAACAATGAAATCCGACCTATATTGACCTTACAGTATTCAATAGACTCACCCTGTGAAGAGGAAGAGGGTGAGTCATGCCTTGATTAGAATGATCTGGCCTTCTCATGTGACAATTGTATGGAATGAGTTTGTTCCTTTCAGCTGGAAGTATTCAGATACGTTTGGCCGCCTCCTTGGATTGAAACTGCTAACTCAAATTAGTCATTATCCTCAGAAGCAATACAGCACGCGTCAGTTCGGAATCTATATTCCATTGAAGTTATACCTAGGCAAAGTCCCCCAGACTATAGAATTTGTGATTTTGAGGTTCAAAGATGGGATGAGAACGGACAGTAGGAACATCATCCAGCTCCTCTACTGTGTTTAAAATAATCGTTCCTTGTCAAACTCAAGTGGCATCCCCTACGAGACAAAGATCCATGACCGTTGATCATTGCCGAAAGACTATTAACGGTGCTGCACTTACGCAGAATACTATACTTGCTGGTCGCTCGGTGAGGCACCGCCGACACCAATGACCACCGCCGACACCAATGACCCCCCAGGAGAATTTAACAAAATTTTAAACCTTCCTCCCAAAAAATCGAAACCAAAAAATTGAGTGTCATTCCTGCGACCAACATTGTCGGGGCAAGCCGTCCGGGGGCGAGTCGTGCTGTCCAGATGCGTATTTCCCTGGGCCTTACGATGGCTGTCCAGCGTACCTCTTGGGAAAGGTACAGGGGTGCGGTCCACCTCTCTAATTCTCGAGTCCCATGCTGTCGGGAAGGCACCAGAGCGCCCGATTGGGGATTTGTATCTGCTTTTTCCGATAGTGCCCCACGACCGTGTTGTAGTCGATATGGCGAGCGGATTCCCAGGTCGACTCGCCGTCGCTGTATCCGTACCAATATACGCGGAACGTAGGGACCCCGTTCTCCCCCGGGCTGTACCCTGTCAGCGACTGTACGACGTAAGCGTCGGTGGGGTCTCCTGCGTTCGTGACAGGAGGTACTGACTCAGCCAATGGTTAGATAGGTGGTACGCGGAAGGCATTCGGTTGGAACGTGCACTTCGCGGCAAAACGCGTGGCACCCGACGCGATGAACGCGCGGTGGGCGGGGTGGATCGCCAAAGGGGCGGAGGGGACGACGCGGAGAGGCGGGGGTGGGTCCGTAAGGGCCACTGTTGGCTCGGGAGTCATCTGGGTCTCCCTCGCGGTTCGCGCGCGCGTAGCAGGGCGCGAGTCCGATTGTTCTCCATGTGGCGGGTCCTCCGTTAGCGGGCTTGCGCCCGACACCGTGGGTTGGTCCGCGGTTACGGGGCGGCTTATCCCGACCTGAGAGCGGTACCCAGCTAGTCTCGAAAGGTCGTCCTTGATTCCCCTGCTGGTTACAGCGTCCATAAATCCCGGCGTGCGCGGCTTTGAGGCCGCCGTGTAGCAAGGGTCCCTTCCGAGGCGGTAGCTTCGGGGGGGTTACCATCCTCCCCGTCTGACTCCACCTGCTCCAGCAGGGGGTCCCCCACGTTGCTCTTCAACGGGGGTGCTTTGACGACTCAGTCACGAGAGAGCCGGTCCTTGGGTCCCGTCCCGCGTAGAATGGTGACGGTATGGTCGTCCACCTGCACGACAGGGAAGGGGCCCTCGGTTTGTGGTGCGAGCTTGTTATTCACCCGATCCTTGTAAGTCTTCTCCTCGGACCGCAGTGCGGCCTCGCGGTTCACGAATACTTGATCCCCCACGTTGTAGTCAGGTACGGGGTAGCGGATCCGATTATCGAAATCGTGTTTGTACCGCTCTTGTCCGGCCCGCATGTTACTGCCGGCCGTCGACATCAGGCCGCGAAGCCACGCTAAGTAGCGGATCTTGAACTGCTCCCTAGAGGCGGAGGGGTCCAACAGCGGAGTTTGTTGAAGGGCCCCTTCATCCCGGACCCCGAGTCCGTTAGCCGGGCTAACGGACTCGGGGTCTGGGATAATACCAGGTCAAAGGGCTTCATCCCAATCGTCCTGTTGACCGTACAATTGTATCCGTACGTCAAAGCGTCCGTGTACTGATCCCAGTCACGTGTAGTGCAATGTGCCTGGCAGGCCGCGAACACAGTCTGACGGTCAAACAAAAAGAAGAAAAACAGCAACAGAAACAACCACTGCCGATGGCACGCGCTACGGAGCGTTTGAGACTCCCTTTCCCCTTGTGTGGGCTTACGGCCCACGGTAGCTCCATTCCGACGGGGGGGTAAGGAAAGATGCCCGGCCCGGGAGGATAATGGTGGTAGAGACTTGTGAAGACTTGAGTGCTCGGCGAGTGCAGGCTGAGATTGTGTACGAGAACGTAACCGCGGTTCGCTTGGTTGTAAGGCCAATGCTCGACGAGCGTCTTCAGCACCTTGTGTATAGTTCAAGGTCCTCGACGGGGGCTCGATTAGCACTACCCGACGGGAACGTAACTATGTAGCAACGGTACGACCAACGTGTTGCCCGATGGCAAAACACCGACACCAATGCGATCGCAATCGCGGTTGGTGGTACCAACACTGTCTTGTATGATAAGACCTTCGAAGGAGGCGTCGTTGCAACAGACTTCCGACGGAACAGGACATTGTAGCAGCGCTACGACCTACGTGCAGCCCGATGGCAATCACACCAACACCGGATCGGTCGCGACCGACTCCAATGGAACCAACACAACTAAGGGAAAAATAGATGTAGAGATGGAAAAGGATAGGGATAAGAGATAGAAAAGGTAAAAAGGATAAGGAAAAGGGGACCCCGAGCAATAGAGGATGTCGTTAGCAACGTAGAAGGGAAGCGCGTCGCGTAAACGGAGGCGGTCTTCGACGAAGGCGAGATCTAACTCCGGCAACTCGGGTTACCTTTACTGACTTGGTGGTCAGCGGGCTAAGGTATATATCGCCCAGCCAGAGCCACTACAGTAGCTCGCGGCGCTAGACCCTAGATCTAATCTAATGTCAGCAAAATTAATACTGACTAATTAACTAAATAAAATTAATAATTAAAATAAAAACTGTGCAATTATTCACACGTGTGTCCCCCAACCCAGACCACTTGTCATATCCAATTATTTTCCTTTCACTTCACCCCCCTGTAGAGCCCTGTATTGCACTACATCACGTTGGTTATCGGCGAGGTAGTGCCGGAGGGTTGATACCAACGTACGGTTGAATCTTTCCACCTGCCCACTAGTTTGGGGGTGATACGCCGTGGTAAACACGCTCTCAATTGAGAGTATCTTGCACACTGCGAGAAAAATCTCGATGTGAATTGTCCTCCGTCATCGGAGAGAAGTTTCACTCGGGCGCCCTATACGAACACCCAGTGGGAAATGAACGCCTGAGCGACATTTTCGGCTGTAATCTTCTTGAGCGGAACCGTCCTGGTCAGCTTAGAGTATCTGTCCGTCATCACCGAGAGGTAGCGGTTGCCTCTTGGTGTACGGAGAAGCT